TGCTGTGATGTGGGCAGGGGCTGGAAGGAAGGGGAGATGGGAGGGGCTGGGGGCGGTGGGCTGGGAGAGACCCAGGAACAATCCAGAGGGAAGGGGGGGATGGCTTAGGCACCTGGAGGACTTCTCCTGGCTATAGCCAAGCATACATAAGGCCAGCCCAGGAAAAAAAAATCTAGAAACGAGGAAGGAGGAAGGGACCCCACCATCTGGAGGTGTCCCACCACTCAGACCTCTGTGATCAGACAGCCTTTGACCACACTGCCAAGGAGGAACCTGTGTGTAGATGCCACCTGAGGGGGGTTTAGGGAGATTCCCCACAGGGGGAATAATAACCACAGGCTTCATTAGATCCATTAGCTAAAGATCTGTGTGCTCCAAAGCTTGGCCACACTGAATTCCTGTTTTTCTGGCAGAAAAATGGGTTGCTGCTCAGATCTTTCAAGGTAAATATCTTTAAGAAAAGACTTCTAGCCCTTGCCAGCGTGGCTTAGTTGGTTGGAGCATTGTCCTGTGTAATGGAAGGTTGGGGGTTCAGTTCCTGGTCAGTGCCTATATAGAAGGCAACCGATGTTCTCTCTCACATCGATCTCTCTCTCTCCCTTCCCCTCTCTCTAAAATCAATAAACATATCAACGGGTGAGGATGAGAAACAAAAAAGAAAAGACTTCCATGATGAAAAATTTTAAATGAGCTTTATCTTGCATGGGCACATCATTTTTTTAAAAAAGTATGTTTTAGTGGTTTTTCACAGAGAGGAAGAGAGAGGGATAGAGAGTTAGAAACATCAATGAGAGAGAATCATTTATCAGCAGCCTCTGGCACACCCCCCACTGGGGATGTGCCCGAAACCACTGTACATGCCCTTGACCAGAATCTTACCCAGGACCCCTCAGTCCGCAGGCCGATGCTCTATCCACTGAGCAAAACCGGTCCTGGCGCATGGGCACATTATTAAATGATCCAATTTTAAGCCCACAGTTTGAATTAGACCAATGCAAACAGTCACAGAAGCACCACCATAATACAACTAGACAACCCTCCACCACCCCTTTGCAATCAGCCTCACGAGCCCTCTGGGGAGGGGCAGGAAAGACCCAGGAAGGAGGGAGGAGGAGGAGCTGAGGTCAGGCCCAGCTGTTCCTTGTGTACATCCTGAAGTGAGGGCTTATCGCCTCCATTTGCCCTACAGGGACCCTGCAGTCCAGGCGGCCAGTGGCTGTCTCAGGGGCGTACAGTTCGACTGAAACCATGCACAATGGGTCTGAGACCGCCTGTCACTACTTGAGCTAAATTCAGCAGAGACACAGTTGAATCATATGTGAGTGTTCATTCCAATAACTAGAGGCTCAGAGTATGAAAATTCATGCACTATAGGGCTGGTCTCTCAGCCTGGCTTGCCCCCTCTCACAGTCCAGGAGCCCTCAGGGTCGGGAGGCGAGCCAGCAATCAGGGGAAGGTGACACCCCCATCATACTTCTGCTGCTGCCATGCTGGTGGAGCCTTGGGCAGCCATGGGTGGCTGGGCAGCTGCCATCCAAGGCTTGCCTGCGCCTCGGGCAGGCCTTGGGCAGCTGGGGCTGTGGAGACTAAACACCACCATCTTGTGGCTGTGGGTAACCCCATCTTTGAGGGTGGGGCCGTCAATTAGCATAGTCCCTCCTTATTGGCTGTAGGTGTGTCTGACATCTTTCCCACAGCATGAGGGTCAATTAGCATATTCCCTCTTTATTAGATAGGATGCCAGTAGTGTGGGGAGAACAGTCAGTCACCCTGGGAATTCTGCCCTGACCAGTTGGCTGGTTATAGACACACAGGGAGAAGCTAGCTATGTGCAGCTGCAAGTGTAACAGGGAAAGGGGTGGGCAGGGCTGCAGTCCGGCCTTCAGGAGCTCAAAGTCCCGTAACAAGGTGGCCAGCCTTCTGTGATGTACAAACAGCTCAGTCCGTTCCTGGGGCCGGAGAATAGTCAACGTTCCTGAGGTAAACTCCCAGAGGGAGTCAGGGTCCGGGCACAGGCACCAAACCAAAGCGTCCTGTCCTGGGTCTGTTCTCAAATGTAGTTCTTTTCTGAGTCACGGACCCAGCGAGGCATCTGATCTTCTTACAGCCGTGTCTCCTCCTCCCGTTCCCCAGGGTCTGTAAGGAAACTCTTATCGACAGTGAGGGGAATCATCACTAAACACCTGAGGCTCTGTTTTTCTCACCTACTATCCAGACGACAGCAGGCCTGGCCGGTGTGGCTCAGGGGTCCAACATCGACCTATGAACAAAGAGGTTCAAGGTTCAATTCCCTCTCAGGGCACGTGCCCAGGGTTGTGGGCTGGATCTCAGTGTAGAGCCTTCAGGGGGCAGCCAATTCATTATTCTCTCTCATCATTGATGTTTCTATCTCTCTCTTCCTTCCTCTTTGAAACCAGTAAAAAATATTCTTTTTGGGGAGGAAATACCCCAGCAGGACCAATCATCCCCCCACACATCCTGGCTGCAAACCTGTGCCTTTCCTCCTTGCCTGGCACAGGTGATGTCAGTGCTGCCCCCTCCTGGAAGCTTGCCGCAGTTCCCAGGCACATTGGCTCCTCTGTCCTTGGGGAGCCTGGTCTTGGGGTCCTCACAAGGGTCCCAGCTCAAGGCCCAGCTTGAACCCAGCAGAGACAGCTCAGGCCCTGTGACCAGACTCTCCCCGCCCTGCCCTCCCCCATGTCCCTGTCCCCATCCCCACCCTAAGGTCCTGTGAAGCCCACCAAAGACCAGCCAGACACAGCTACAGCTGCCCAGCTTCAGGCAGCCCTCCCAAACAGTCCTCAGTCTGGCCAGCACCTGGTGGCCGAGGTGACTAGGGCCCTCTGGGAAGGGCTAAGACTTTCTGGTCCCAACTCCCAACTCTCTGCCTAGTTCCAAATCATGGACCTGATGGGAGCGTCCTCTCTGAGATGTGGAAACTGAGGCACGGGGCAGGCTGCCTGATGACCCACCAGGACCAAGCTGCTCCAGGAACAGCTTGGACTCCTTCCCGCCAGCACCCGGCCCAGAGCCTGAGATCGGAGGTGCGGGAGCCACGTGGCTCTGGTGAACACGGACGTGAGTGGCACCACCTCTGGGTGCAGGGCCTGTGTGAACAGGTGGCAGCCGCACACAGGAGGTGACGTCGGGAAAGGGGAAAGTGCCCTTTCTGTCCAGCTCAGAGAGTGGGGCTCAAGTCCAGGTCGGCCCTGCCAGGGCCTGGGGGCCAAATGCTGCCGAGTGTGGGGTGGGGAACAGGTTGGAAGGACCCAGTCCTCTGCCCCCTGGACCACCAGGGCATTCCCTGGTCCCCACACGATGGGCCTTCAGGGCCTTCACCTGTTTTAGCTCATTTGTCTCCAGCATTGAGACCCCTCATTCCACCGGCACCGCATACATGGTTTCCTGCAGGACCCCCACACCCCCAGATGGGAAGCCTGCTCTCCAACAAGAAACCCAGTCACCATGGGTGTGGCCCCTCGATGACTCTGATGAGACTTGGTTCTGTGCCCATTTTCCAGGAGAGCACAGGGAGGGGTGACGCACCCCAGAGTGCCACCCTCGCCTGGACCTGGGGTGCAGGTCACCAGGAGCCAGTGACCATGGGCCTGTATGGAGCGCCCTCAGGAGGACCCATGTGGGCACAAAGGAAGGGCTAACTCCTCACAGACCCCTTGGCCCAGTGGAAGGCCCGCTGAGCCTCCCTGATAGGCCAGCACTCACTGTGTCTGTCACTGCCGCTGGCTGAGCGCCTGAGATCCCAGGGCCAACAAGGGGAAGCGGGGTGCCTGGCATCCTACCTGCTCCCCAGTGTGGGCGTCTCAGCCCGGCCCCCCATGTCCCTTTCCTTTCTTGCACCCCACCGGAAGAGCCCTTGTCCCCCGGTGTCCCCGCACAGCCTGCACTGGGAACGTGTAGATGCACCTGTGCAAGGTGAGCAATCCAGGGAGCTCAGCCCACTGACCACAGAGGCTGTTCCAAGAGTATGGGTTGGAGAGGGAGGGGAGAGGGCGTTAGCCAGCCCCGTCTGTTCTCACATGGAGGAAGGGCAATATTCTGGCTGCAATCAGATGGTTAAGTGTGACAGGGAAGGAGGAGGTGAGCTCCCCACCACGGTGTCCACAGCAGGAGGCTCAGGTGAGTGGGCAGAGGCCCTCCCACACGGACCTGCCAAGTCTGCACCGTGGGCAGCGGAGCTTGGACGCTGTGCCCAGGAGACAAGCCGCATGCACAGCAACTGGAAGCACAGAACCAGCGGCCCTGGGACATGAGCGGTGACAGGAAGCTCGCTTGGCGACCGCTCATCCAAGAGGCAGATGCATTGGACATGGGCCTGGGGCCGTCAGTGTTGCAGGCAGACACCTGCCCCCTGAGAGTCTCCTGGTATCCACATGTGTGTGCGCAGTGCAGGCTGAGGCTGAGGACGGTTTGGGGAGGGCAGACACTGCGTGGTAGGAGGGCCCCAGGGTGTGGGACCAAAGGTCTATCTACATTGTGACCCCAAGACTAGGTACCTGGCTGCCCCTAGAATTATCCTGGTTCATAGGTCAATGCTCAACCGCTGAGCCACTCTGGCTGGGCTAGAGTCGTCTTTTAAATGCTCTGAGTTGCATTCTGTGTCCTGAATTCACATGACCGCTCCCCGAGGAAACACAGCCCAGGCAACCTGAGCTGAGGAGGGGGTGTCCCCACAGCCAGGCCAGTGCTCAGGGCCGGGTCCCACAGTGACAGACATTGGCTGTGTAACTGCCCCTGGAGTCCTCCGTCCCGCTCGGTGAGACCCACAACAGGAAACACAGCCACAACCACATGTGCTCTTCACACACTTTAATGAGGGGCAGTGCCCACCACCCACCCCCTGGGCTGGGAAGAGTTTTCTGGTGGAGCTCAGGGCAGGGTGCAGGGAGGTGGAAAGGGCAGACACTGGGCAGAAAGCAGTGGTCTGGGGCAGGAGAGGGCAGGATTCTCCTCGGCCCCAGGTGGCAGCCTGAGGGAGGTGCTCAGGGCTCCTTGGGGACGTACTGGCGGATCCAGTGCAGGTAGGAGGTGACTCGGGTGTAGATGCCGGGCCTATTGGGCCGGGCACAGCCTAAACCCCAGCTGACCACACCCGCCTGCATCCAGGTGCCGTTGACCTTGCAGACCAGGGGCCCTCCAGAGTCTCCCTGGGGAGGAGAGGGGTCAGCAAGGGCCTGCAGAGGCTGAAGGGGGGGGGGGGGGGGGGCTCGGGGGAGGACACAGCGCACCTGGCAGGAGTCCTTATTCGTGATCCCGGCACAGATCATATCCTTATGGACGATCCGGACGTTGTCCCCCGTGTAGAGGCCAGTGTGGTATTCGGAGTCACATTCGCTGTTTTCCACGATGGGGACCTTCACCTGCTTCAGGGGGTACGGCGGGGGGAGGGGCACTAGAGGGGAGAGGAGAGCATTCAGCACCAGGGAGGAGGTCAGCACTGCCCTAGCCTGCTGCCAGGACCCCTCCCCCAATGGAAACCAAAGGTTGGGTTTTGGGTGTGACTGGTCCCCACTCCCCCAAGCCCTCCAATGGTGCCTGACACTCACCTTTCTCTTGCACATAACCCCAGCCTGTCACCCAGCAGGGGGTCCCTGGGGGGAAGGTCTCCGAGGCAGGGGGCAGAGCCACCCGCTGAAGTTTGTAGGAGATATTCACAGGCTCCTCCAGCTCCAGCAGGGCAATGTCTGCCCCGTTCTCGACGGTGAAGTAGTTGGGGTGCACGATGATCCGGTTGACAGACAGCAGCTTGTCCTGGTAATAGAGGTGCTGCTCCCGCAGCTGCACCCTCAGGTCCACAGGATCTTTGATTTCCCTGGAGGGAGAGGCGCCTACTAAGTGGATTGAGCAGCTCCTGTCCACCCAGGAGGGAGTGGGGATGCAGTCCCAGCCCCAGTCCCCACCCATCAGGCCCCACAGGCACTCACAGTCCCAGGCAGTGCGCGGCGGTCAGCACCCACTGGGGGTGGATGAGGGAGCCTCCGCAAATGTGTTGCCAGTATTTGTCTCGTAGGAGTCTCAGGCTCACCTGCCAGGGCCACTTGTTTTCAGGGGCCTCCTGCCCCCCCACGATGCCCACTCTCTCCAGGTCTTGGCTCTGAGCTGGGGCAGCAAACACCTCAGGGCAGCACAGGACACAGCCCGGCCCCTGTGCCCACACAAACCTGGGCTTCTGTGAGCCCACCACCCCTTGTGGAGCCTGTGGAGGGAGAGGCAGGGGCAGGGACAGGGCTGAGCAGGGTCAGGACTCACCAGGGGCCGCGTGGCCCGGGCTCAGCAGGAGGGGCAGTGCCAGCACCAGCAGACTCAGCATCTGGAAGGAGCCAGGAGGGGCTGCTTCACCCAGGGGTGCTGAGCCCAGCGGGGGTCTGCAGGGTGTGGGTACAGATGAAGTCGGGGACCCCAGGATGAGGGGTCAGTTCAGACCCAGAGTCTGAGGTCCTGCTGCTCCAGATGTGAGGCTCAGCTACTCAGTGCACTAACCCCAGGTGGTGGGGTCTGTTGGGGTGCTTACCTTGACAGGTCGCTGCTGCTATAATCTCAGCCCACTCTCCCCTCCCATTTATCCTTCCAGTTGGGGTGGGTGGAGGGTCAGAGGAGGGGTTGCTCAATCCTCCAATCAGTGGTGGAGGAAGTGGATGATTCAGACCCAGGGCCCTGATCTTCCCCCCAGGATTCCTTTGGTATCTGACAACATCCATGTCTGTGTGTTATCTGAGCAGTTCTGCTGATCTCCATGATACCTTGTTATCTTGGGATCTGAGTGTCATCAGTGAGGGACAGGCAGATAGAGGTGACAGATAACAAGCAGCTAGTTCCAGTTCCCCTTGGATACCTCCCTGCCAGGCCCCACAACACCTGGCTCCCAACTTCCACAACCAGGACTGACCACTATCCCTGCCTGTTCATCCTCCCAGCTCCTCAGTCCCGTGGGCTTGCTGGTTACCAGAGCCTCCAGCCCACCTCCCCCAACACCCAGAGTCCTGATCCTTTTGCATCACCCACTGCCATCCAGATGGCCCCTCCTGTGGCCTAGGGGAGCCTCGGGCTGCCCTCTACCCTGACCAGACACCCGCCTGGCTCTGGGACCCATCTGTCCCTGTCTGGCTCCTACACATCTGTCCCAGGTGACCAAGTGCTTGGTCCCATTCTTCTCCAGATGTTGGGTCAGCTCTTTGCCCTGTGACCTCAGTTCTTTGATAGGGTGCAGAAATGTCTTGATTTGCAATTTTTGAGTGATGTTCTTCCCAGCTGTCTATAACCTGAGCTGACCCAGGCCTGGAATACATGCAAAGATGGTTTAACATGTGAAATTTAATCCATGTAATTCATCATGTTGACAAACTGTAAATGAACTGCTATTATCTTTTGCTTTGGCAGAATTTTTTTTAACACAATCCAATACCCATTTCAATCCAACAAAAATTCTCAGCAATTAATAAAGACAGCATGCTATAGTTATTTCTGTTGAACTGAAATGGGTGTTGAATTGTGTAAAAGTTTTTTTCTGCTGCTAAGCATAAGACAAAAATAGCTACTCTTTCATAGTTTGTCAAAATAATGAATTATGTGGACTGATTTTCACATGTTAAACCAATTTTGCATTCCTGGAATGAATTATATACTAGACCGTGATGTGTCAGCCTCTCCATATTTGGAGGAATTCAATTTACCAAAGCTGGATTAAGGATTTTGGTGGCTCGCTCTAGGAGGGACACTGGTCTGTAGTTTTCTTCCCATACAATATCTCTGGTTTTCTTATGTAAACTTCTCTGGGTCACAATGTGTTATCTATATCCCATCTATATAGCTCCTGATTCAATCTGCTAATATCTTGTTGAGGATTCTTGTGTCTATGCTGATGAGGGATATTGATCTTTAGTTACCTTCCTATGTAATGTCTTTGATTTATTTTGGTATGAAGGTAATCCTGACCTTATTCAAAGTTTTGGGCAGTGTTCTCTCCAACTGGGATAGATTATGTAGGTTTGGTATTATTTCTTCCTTAAATGTTGGGTAAATATTTCAGGGAAATCATCTGTGTTTGGAATTACCACAAAGTCGGGGCTTGAATGACACATTCATTTTCCCATGATTCCTCGGTCAGAGGCATGTCCTGGGTCTCACGGGGCTAAAGCTCAGGTGTGGGCAGGGCTGCATTCCTCCCAAAGCTCCAGGAGAGAATCAGTTCCTGGCCTCTTGCAGCTTCTAGAGGCCCCCCGCCTTTTTCAGCTCCTGCCTGCCCTCCATCTTCAAAGGCCGCCAGGAGCATCTCTCCCACACCCTCCATCTCCTGCCCACAGCAGGGAAGAGCCTGTGATTTTAAGGACTCACCTGAGGACACTGGGTGCATTCAGATGGCCTAGGAAACTCTCCTGTCTCGAGGCCATCACCTTAGTCATGTCCACAAAAGCCTCTGTCTCGTGGGCCCACAGTCACAGGCACAGGCACAGGCACAGGTGCAGGGGTGAAGATGAGGACATCTTGGAAGGGCCATCCTTCTGCCAGTGGGGAGAGAGAGTCCCAATGCTGGAGGCTAACTGGGGTGGGACAGATGAGGGCCCATATCCCTTCCTGTGGGGTCCTAGTTGGCACTGTGTGATCCAGGAGGCAGATGACCTGTGTTCCCGCAGACCTACCGCCACTCCATAAACTGGGGCCACATCAGGCCCCCAGAGGCCTGGACAGGTGGTGCTTTTGCCATCCTTATCATCATCAGGGTCAATGTGGAACACCCACTTCACAGCTGAAGCTTTTGGCAGGAGATAGGTTTGCACCCCAAGAAGACTGGTCCTGGATCATCAAGCAAAACTCTGCCTGTGATTGGGAGATAGCTGGAGGGACAGGAAGTCCTGGCCCTTCCCAGTGCCCCCTAATCAGCTCAGTGATCAGGTTCTGGCAGGACAGGGGGACAGTTAGGAAGGGCTGCCCCAGGCTGGGCAGCTGGTGATGTGTCTGTCTGATCTGTGGTGGAGACCACAGGACCTGCGGACGGTGAGGCAACACTCCTCAGAGGGCTTGAGCTGTCTCTCTTAGGCTCATTTGGGCCTGGAACTCTAGGTCTGTATTTCTTATTTAGAAATATACTTTTAAATTTTAGGACAGGTTTAGATTTATACCATGCACCCAATTTCCTCTATTATTAACATTTTATAATAGTATGATCCATTTGTTATAATTAACTAGAGGTCCAGTATAGGAAATTCATGCATGGGGGTAGCTCAGTCGAATCTGCATCCTCTCACAGAATGGGACTGCTGGCCCCTAACTTCTCTGCATGCCTGCCTGATCACTCCTAACCACTTGCTTGCATGTCTGATCACCCTTAACTGCGCACCTCCCCTTATTACCCTTAGCCACCTTTGCCTCAGCCCCAGCCACCGCAGCTTCGTCTGAAAGGACATCAGGAATGACATCTGAAAGGTTGTTTGGCTGTCTGGTCTAATTAGCATATTACTTTTAGTTTTATAGATGACCCAATGTGATACACTATACTAACTTTAATCCCTGGTTTATTTGGATGCCCTTACTTTTCCGCAATGGCCTCTTCCTGTCCAGGATTCCATCCAGGCGCCACATGACATCTAATTGTCTTATCTCCTTAAGGTCTGCTGGCTGTGACAGCTTCTCATACACCTGGCTCTTCTTGAATATTTGCTGCCTCAATGATAGAATCAGCAATTTCTCCAAGGATCCCAGCTCCTTGTTTTGGTGATGCTGTTAGAAACCGGAGTCTGGGCTTCACTGGTGTGCTGGTTGCTCTGGGGGGTCCTTGCATCTAGGCCCTTAGCTGAGAGAACAAGGAAATGTGTGTGCACTGACTTGTGTATAGACACACATATATAAACTATAGGCCTGGTGCATGAAATTCATGCACTGGGGGAGGAGAGTGTCCCTCAGCCCAGCCTGCACTCTGTCCAAACTGGGACCTCTCAGGGGATGTTTCAACTGGCATTCAGACATCCCTCTCGCAATCCACGACCCCTGGCTCCTAACCACTCACCTGCTGCCTGCCTAATGCGCTCAACTTCCCTCCCCTGCTGGCCTGGTTACCCCCAACTACCTTCCCCCACCAGCCTGATGTTGCCCCAAAATGCCCTCATCTGCCAGCCTGATCTCACCCTCAACTGCCCTCACCTGTTGACCTTATCTAACCCCTAACTGCCTCTGACTCAGCCCCCACTATCATAGCTTTGTCCAAAAGGAAGTCTAATTAGCATGTTACCTTATTATTTGTTTAGATGTCTAAAATTAAATCTATGATCCATGTTGAATTAAATTATGTATGTTAGGAGTTTTAGAAATAGGAAAGCCCCCCCCCCCCCACTGCCCTGCCTTCAAGTCATGGGTCTTTGTAGAACACAAAACATTGGAGCCAGGCAGCAAAACAAACATCTTTACTTCTAGTAGAAGGGTGCGCACACATGGTCTGGAAGCATGTGCACAGGAAGCAGGTGAGCTGCTCAAGTTTATAATCCTTTAAGCACATAACCTGTCCATTGCTCTTGATTGGAGCTCAGGCACACAATCTTTTGATACTGGCTAATTCAAAGAGAGGGGCTGGCCTTTGCTATTTCAAGATGGCGGCCCCCAGGGGAACTGCAAGCCATGTGGCAACATGGCGGCTGCCAAGTCACACAGTCCAAAATAATGGCTGTCTAAACTGTTCTTGAATAGAAAAGATGTTTGTTTATTCTCACAGGAGGCAAGTGCCAAGGCTCATGTCCTCCCACCTCCTGACCCCCACAGATTACACAATCATTCCAGAAACATTGGTAAAGAAAGCCAGCCCTTCCCTGGTTTGAAAATAATTGATCATTTATGTGTAGGTCTCTTTCTGAACTATTGCTTCATTGAACTAAACAGCTCCCTCTTCTGTTACCGCTCTCTCTGACTGCTGCCGCTTTCTACCGCGTCACCAGTCTCAGAGTGTGACCCAAATGTGTCGATGCCAGGCTCATCATGTGCATATTTGTTTCTGGAGCCTTCCACAGGGCATGCCTGGTGCCCCCCTTCTTCTCTTTGGCATGTTCCCCCAGAGTCTCTGCAACCCCTGCAGTTGGCAGGAGGTGGATGTCCTGGTTGTGGACACAGAGACCTGCAGTCAGGACTATCCTGGCCCAGGGGCCCTGAGAATGCCGGCCCTGTGAGCCCGGGCTGGGGTGGGGGGCAAAGCAGACAATGGGGGCTCCCAGTCAGCCTCTTCCAGTCAGCCTCTCTTCAACTTCAAATGAGAAAACCCAACTTCAGGGGCCAAGGAGCAGTTCAGACTGCCACGAGGGTTCAAGAACTCGCTTACTCTTTTGAGTGGAG